TTGCAATTGATTATTCCTTAACTATTTTTTTATTAAATGATTACTTATTTGTTTATTCTTTATTTTATTGTTATTATTATTTTGTGTGTGTGTGTGTGTGTGTGTGTGTGTGTGTGTTTTTTATGCAATGTGTAGATTGAACATATAGAATGTAAAATTTGATTAGTAATTTTTCAGCCTAAAACTATGGTACTGTTTTGATGCCAAAATTTTAGTATTATGTAGTATCAGTACTGAGTCCTGTATCTCATTATCCCTTTTTTATTATAAAGATCTTGCCTATAGACCATTTTACTGTTCACAGGGAAGCATAGAAGTTGTGCCACTAAGAAGTCGCAGATCCAGCACTGCCTCGTCCTCTGAAGATAAGCATCCCCAGATCCCTGAAGAGCCAGCATGCCCAAAGAAGAGCGCCCTCAAAAATACCCCAATGGGTCTGGCTTCACCACGCGCAAAGAGTGACAGGACATCACTGCTGAAAAGTGACACCGTAGGGAAATGCTCCCCCAGGAATAGCTCGCCTGCCAGAGCAACTCGTTCAAGCTCGGGACACACTGAAGTACCCACCAACCTTCCTGCCAAGAGTGGCACACCTGTTCGCACGTCATCGAGACTTGCCTCCAGAAAGGAATCCCATACAGATTCGTCATGTGAGAATGGCTCATCAAGTGAAACTTCGTCCAAAGGAGGCAATACAAGTAGATCATCTTTCATCAAGAAAATGTCCTCTGATGTGCCATCCACCAGCAGCGACACACCAGCAGGACCGTTGAATGTCTCGGCTAAAGGGAGTAGTGAATTGCTCGCTGCCTCAATCACAGAAATTAAATCTCCTACAAGGTCCTCAACCTATAAGTCATCCCAAGACAAGAAATCGGCCAGCTCGTCTTCAGGGAATGAATCGCCAGCACGGTCACTTTCACCATCAGTAAGCAAAACCCCGGTCAGGTCAGCCTCTTTGCCCTTAGTGAATAAAACCCCTACGAGGTCATCTCCATTGAATTCTGTGAACACAACCCCTTCATCGCCTATGAACAAAAGATCTTTGAGATCTCCTTCTGTTAATAAAACACCTGTTAGATCACCTATGACTAATGCACCAGCAAGGTCACCTGGGAGACCACCATCTGTTAATAAATCTCTCACACGATCACCAGCAGTGAATACAATCTCTCTGAAATCACCCTCTAGTATTAAATCGCCTCTCACATCACCTACTGTAAACAAAACTCAAGTGACGTCAGCCTCTGCTAGTGAGACCTCCTCCCTGACCTCGCCGACCAGAGTGTCTCGAAGATCACTCAGCTCTGACAGATCACCTCTAGCTTCCCCCTCAGTCAGCAGAACACATACAAGGTCATCCTCCATCAGCAAATCCCCAGCTCGACCGCCTGCAGAAAAAGGTCCTCCTAAGCATTCCCCAAAGAAGAGCTCGTCTCCATTTAGAGCAGCAGACTCAAACAGTAAAGGATCTGCTAAAGGTAAGATATCCGTGAATTTAGCCTTGTATCATGTGCTCAGGTTCATAACAGTCATCCTTACTATGATATTTTACCTTGGAAATAATTTTGCAATATATCAGTATTTTGACAGGTAATAGTAAGTATTATCAGATTATTGGGCCCTTGATCACTCTTTTCTTCTTTTCGTATAATCTCCTTGGAAGAAGATAGGTAAGTATTCACCTTCTCCAGATATTCAAGACTAGCAAAGTACATTGTGAAGTCTGCATTCATGGTTTAAGGAAAAGGTGCTTCATTAAAAACACTTGTGAAAAGATGACGTTACTAGGATGTTCAAAGATATAAACTAAAGTATGAAACTTAAACTTGACGATAAGTGAACAATCAGGAGGAAACTTCATGCTGCAATGTAGTTGTATGTTGCCCAAGGAACACATTAGTCTTAATATAATGAGAAGAGTTGTTTGAATGGGTAAAATAACATTTAAAAGTGTAGATGGCTAATTTGTTGTAGTTGTTAGTTTTGTAACAGTTATGTAGTAGATGGAAAGTGAAGGTAAAAGTATATTTAATGCTAAATTTTGTATATCTGGCCTCTAGTTGTTATTCCTCCTCCTCCTCCCCTTCTCTTCCTCCTCCCCTTCTCTTCCTCCTCCTCCTCCCCTTCTCTTCCTCCTCCTGCTTCCCCCTCCTTTGTCTTCTCCTCCTCCTCCTCCTCCTCCTCCTCCTCCTCCTCCTCCTCCTCCTCCTCCTCCTCCTCCTCCTCCTCCTCCCCCCCCTCCCCCTCCTTCCCCTCCTCCTCCCCCTCCCCTTCCCCCTCCCCTTCCCCCTCCTCTTCCTCCTCCTCCTCCTCCTCCTCCTCCTCCTCCTCCTCCTCCTCCTCCTCCTCCTCCTACCCCCTCCTTTGTCTCCTCCTCCTCCTCCTCCTACCCCCTCCTTTGTCTCCTCCTCCTCCACTTCCTCCCCCTCCTCCTCCTCCTCCTCCTCCTCCTCCTCCTCCTCCTCCTCCTCCTCCTCCTCCTTCCCCCTCCTTCTCTTCTTCCTCCTCTCATCATCTCATCCCCTCCCCTCACCCCCTTCCTCCTCCTACTCCATCATTACTTCATTGCCATTCTTACTACACTCTTTGCTCAAATCAGAATTAATTTCCGTATTCTAAGGCATTTCTGATATTCTGTATCCAGTTTCTGGCACCGAATCTCAGAACCCTCAAGGGCACTAAGACAGGAGAGTTTTGTGTCCTCAGATGCTGAGCCTGTCATGACAACCCGCAGACTGAGGCACCGGCGAGTGACTTACTCATTGTCATGAGTGACTGCCATGTAGCCTTTGCCGTTCACTGAAGGCTGTATTCCGCTGTGGCTGTCTGGACTGCGGATTGGAAGAGTAGTTGCTCAGCTGGTGGTGGAGGAAGTAGCCGTGGGAGGGCAGACCAAGGTGGCAGCCATGAATAGACGTGGTGGAAGACCCTCATTGTGAACACTAACCCTATTGCTAACATTAGCCTTGAATACTTAATGTCTCTTTTGGCACACAACTTTGAGTTTGGGTCATTGGGTGTGTCTACTATCAGGATGTGATATTATCCAACCACTGATATCTGCTATGTTAAGGACTTTTGTCAATCACGTTGTTTAGGATTTTGACGTCTCTTTTTAAAACCTGGTTTAAGAGTTTGAAATTTGACTCGAAAGAAGATAGTTTTTCTTTTTGTTTTGTTTTTGTTTTATTTGTTTTGTATGTTGTGTCAATAGTAAAGTTTATATGAATTATTTTTGTAGAGTTCAATTCTTTGATGATGTTATGGAAGGTATCTTTTGATTTAAGTTGTGTAAGTCATAATACACTGACTGCACAGAAAATGCTTTTCTTAAACATTGTTTTAGATTTTGTTCTTGGTAAGTTCTCTTTGTAGTATTTTTCAATTAGTATATTTTGAAAGTCCATGTAGATGTAGCTTATTTTGTTTAGACCAATCAAAATACTTTGTATTTTATGGTGCAAGGAGGGCTATTAACATAATGAATCTTTTTGTAATAGTATATTACACATAGTTAAACGAACAACACTGGTGTACAGGTATTACTATTATCATGAGTTAGTTGTAGATGATGCTGTACATCCATTTACTTAAACTAATTTTGGATGTTTGTATAAATATATATGATACTTAAAGGTTGCAATGTGCAAAATGATGTTGAATATAATGTGATATATATTTGCTTTCCTTACAGTTAGAATTGCATTTTTATGTACCATATATGGTTTGGATTAGGGAATTAATCTTCAAGAAAGAAAACATTACTTTTTATAATATTTACGGCCTTAGAAAATGTAGTGATGTAAATCAAGATTAGCTGCAAGTGATTGTGAATATTGTATTGGAAATACACACAATTTTACATTCCTTTATAAAGTCTCCGTAATGCTTGGTATTACTTTTGTTTTGAAAAAAGCAGCTGTAGTGGAGTATTTACTCTTTTGTGATAAGTATCATTGCCTCCCTGTAAAGTGATCTTTGTGCCAGCTGTTCTGGTGGAAAAGCTGTGCTTAAAAACAATCAGTATTGTATAAGAGTTGAACAGGACCCTAATTCTATAGAGCAAACTGCCTTGCACCTAAGTGTCTGTGTTCTGTGCTTGGAATAAAGTAATGTAGTAGGTCATTAATTGAGTTTTCAGTGTAGCAGAAAAGCTTTTTGTGGACAGTAAAAATGGAATTATTTGCATGTTACCCATAGATAGAGAATTATGTAATAACCAATTCTTTCATGTTGGAAATTAAAGGATGTTTTTATGATAATTAAATGGTTTTTCAGCTTGAAAGGTTTGCCATCATCACAGGCCACTGTATGCCAAACAAGAAAATTTTGTTTACATAAGATTCAGTAAATTTCATTCATTGTAAATGTTTTCAACTTTTACAGCTGACCTTTTTTTTCTGGGTAGCATAAGGAAAAGTATCACATAAAACATTTTCTCTTTAGTGCCAAAACTCCCATTATATATGAAGTGCCACAAAGTCATCAGAAAAAAAAAGATTAAGAATGAGCAGTTTGCATTATTCTTAGCATCAATTAGTTCTTACAAATAATTGCAGTTTCCCCGTGTTCATTTTGATGTTAAAAGAATTGTTACTCTCCCTTGATTTGTTTGTAATTGTCCAATGGCATCTTTTGTGAATTTTTGATTTTGTATTCTGTTCACCATTGATTGTTTTATCATGATTAAATCATTGTCAGAGCAATGTGACTTAAAATATGGTTTTATAAGAGCAAAAATTCAAGCACAGCAGTGTGTGTACAAAGTGAGATGGGCACAGGAAGAAAGAAGAAATAGACTTTCTGTTTTGTAGACGGGTTTCATTTCACGGTTTTGTAAGAGTATTATCAGTTTATTTGATAATTTTAGCGTTTAAAAGAAATATTATGCATCTTACCATTGACATCAAATCGAGTCCAGTTCTGCTTTTTTGCAATATGTGCATCCCTGTGTACGACGATTGTGGAAGAAGTCAGGTTTACCAGATTCATGAAAATAACCTCACCTTACTTTAAGCTCTGAAGTATGTAACTAGTACTTTAATATTTTTTTTTAATGGTTATAGATATCTAAAAAAAAAAAGTCTTCCATTATTATTGAAGGGAATATCATTTTCCTATTGAAAGAGACTGTAATTACAAGATGGTTGCAGAGGTTGTAATACAGTTCTTGTAAAACATACATATTAGTTTTGTATTGTTATCCTGAACTGGGTGTATTTTATTTCTACTGTATTTAAGTTATTAGCGTTGAGTGAGAATTAATGATGATGATATCCGGAAGGTGTATTACTAAGAGCAATTTCCTTCTTTATACAGAACAATATTGTAACTAGACCATAACATGTAAAGATCGGTTTTGCTATAAAGATGAAATAAATTAAAAATCCCAACTTTATTGTGTTGTGTTGCATATATTGCCATTGTAACAAGTGTTTTTTTGTTGTTTTTGTTAAGTAATTTAACTGCAAGCTTAGATTAACTGTTCTTTGCAGTACATTACATATAAGGGTGATTAGTTCCATCCTACCTTTATTTTTCTATTTCTTATTGCTTAGATTTTTGTTCCTTTGATTTCAAAACTATGCCTGTGGATTGTGCAGTAACAGCCTGCAGTGTGACTAATCAATATTTTGTGAGAATTAAACTTCAAGAGAACATTATTTCTCTCCTTTTTTGACATACAGCAAGTGTGGAAAAAAACACATGGAAAAATAGAGAGAGAGTTTAGGTTGACTGGAAGAGTTTAATTTGTCTAAGCTGCTTACAGTGTGAACACTATGATTCGTACTTAGATAAAATTAAAGATTTTTCTCAAGAGTTGCTTTTTGTCTTTCATTTAGTTTTTCACAATTGTGTATGCATATCATTAGTCCTTATACTTCTATAGATATTTGAAAAGTAAGATTGAACGTGTTTGTCCTACATATGATTCAGGTATTGACGATAGAGCGACAAACTCAAGGAAAAGGGGTGCTTGGGATATGTAGATGGCAAGTATAATTTTTGTGGAGAATTTTATTGAGGAGGAATATTAAGCTAGTCACATGTGCAATAAATGACTTGATGTGACAAAAAGGCTTGTTAGTCATGTACCATAAAAGATTGAAGTACTCTGTGATCTTAAAGAATATCAGACCATACAGATAAGTGAGGGATTGCTTTTGGGATGGAAATGTTGAGTGGCATTGGTAATTATTTTTCACCCATGACCCCCCCCCCCCCCCAAAAAAAAAAAAAAAAAAAAAAAAAAAAAAAAAAAAAAAAAAATCCTTGCTTGTTGTTGTGGGGCTTATAGGGATCTTTGGACCTCAGCCATTGCCTCAACTAATTTTGCATGGTCTTTTCTGCTCCCCCTTTCCTTCTTTTTTCATCCTCTTCTGTCCACTTACACTATTTGATAAATCACTTCTACCCTTTTCACCTCAAAACTTTACCATAGTGCTTATGAACCAAAACCCCCACCCTATTGCTACATTTTGAATAGACAGGAATGACCATAGATGACCAGTGAATGGCAAGTAACAATTATGCTACTTTTTATTATTAAAACAAATTGGAGTAAATCATTTTTCATATCATTTTTAAAGATCTTTTTTTTTAAGACTGTAGAAATGAGTCATTACAACAACAGCATAAAAAATAAGAGATTCAAAGATACTGCAGCAAGGAATGGAAGTATTCCAAAGGGGAAAGCTCACATATTAATAAATCTATACCAAGGTTTAATAAAGCTAATAATAATCACTAATCTTTCAAACAATTTAATAAACATTCATACTTGATATTACAGAGTAGCCCAAGTTTTGTGATTCCACAAAATCTCTTTACAAATGTGAAAATATTACTGTACATTGTTCATCTTATCTGTGTACATTCCATGTGTATTGTCATTCATTCTACAACAAAAAATATATGAAAGTCTCAAACATTCTCTCTCAACCTTATAAATTATTAACTATGTAATAATTTCAACAATAATCACTACACCAAATATTACAGTAAAATGCTTACTTGTTTTTTCTCAAGTCCCTATTTATAATTGAACAAAAAAAAAAAAAAAAAAAAAAAAAAAAAAAAAAAAAAAAAAAAAAAAAAAAAAAAAAAAAAAAAAAAAAAAAAAAAAAAAAAAAAAAAAAAAAAAAAAAAAAAAAAAAAAAAAAAAAAAAAAAAAAAAAAAAAAAAAAAAAAAAAAAAAAAAAAAAAAAAAAAAAAAAAAAAAAAAAAAAAAAAAAAAAAAAAAAAAAAAAAAAAAAAAAAAAAAAAAAAAAAAAAAAAAAAAAAAAAAAAAAAAAAAAAAAAAAAAAAAAAAAAAAAAATCCTTGCTGTTGTTGTGGGGCTTAGAGTGATCTTTGGAACCTCAGCCATTGCCTCAAGAAATCTGGCATGGTCTTTTCCTCACCCCCTTTCCTTCTCCTTTTCTTTATTCCCTCCTGTCCACATTTCCTAAACTCATTTTTACCTTTTTTACCACAATACTTCACCCTAATGCTTATGAACCAAAACCCCCACCCTATTGCTACATTTTGAATAGACAGGAATGACCATAGATGACCAGTGAATGGCAAGTAACAATTATGCTACTTTTTATTATTAAAACAAATTGGAGTAAATCATTTTTCATATCATTTTTAAAGATCTTTTTTTTTAAGACTGTAGAAATGAGTCATTACAACAACAGCATAAAAAATAAGAGATTCAAAGATACTGCAGCAAGGAATGGAAGTATTCCAAAGGGGAAAGCTCACATATTAATAAATCTATACCAAGGTTTAATAAAGCTAATAATAATCACTAATCTTTCAAACAATTTAATAAACATTCATACTTGATATTACAGAGTAGCCCAAGTTTTGTGATTCCACAAAATCTCTTTACAAATGTGAAAATATTACTGTACATTGTTCATCTTATCTGTGTACATTCCATGTGTATTGTCATTCATTCTACAACAAAAAATATATGAAAGTCTCAAACATTCTCTCTCAACCTTATAAATTATTAACTATGTAATAATTTCAACAATAATCACTACACCAAATATTACAGTAAAATGCTTACTTGTTTTTTTCCTTCAAGTCTTATAATTGTACAAAAAAAAAAAAAAAAAAAAAAAGGAGAAATATTTATCATCTTAAAATTTACTTCCTCGCCTTCTTTTTGGGAGTTCTCTTTGTCTTGCCCTTCTTGCTCTCGGATCGCATTTTCCCTTTGATATCCTTTTTCAATCTCTTGTCAACCAGCTTGTATGGACCCTTGCCGGCCCCTCTTGGCTTCCTTCCCTGATTTGTCTTCTTCATCACAATGTAGGTCCGTTCTTTCTTCTCCAAGGGTCTCATCGCAGCCTTGTACAACCTGTTTAAAAAAAAAAAATAAAAAATAAATAATGAGTATTATGAATGCATTCCATTTTCTCTAGCCTTATTTTCTTAGGTTCAAGTCAGAGTTTGAGCAGAAAATAATAGCAAATTTTGTCTGAACACTTACTTTTTCACCTGTGACACCTTCTCCCTCTGAGTCATCTCTGCATTGGTAGCGATAGATTCTGCCTTCTTTCTTGCCTTTTCCATGTGCTTCTTCACCTTGCGATGTTTTCTAGCCTTTGCCTCTACTACCTTCTTTAGTGTACGGGCATTGACTGCCTTCTCACGGTCACGATACATTCTTAAGTCAGCCTGGAAATGAAAAAGTTGATTTTGAATGGTGCTGCCATATATTAGCCTTGAAATAAATTTCGTAGATGTGTTTCATATGTATGCTTAATACCACTGATCAGTAACGCTTATATTATATTCTAATATAAAGAAAAACTAGTATTTTTCAAAGACTAAATGGGAAACCTACTGGATCGACTTCCACGGGTTTATTGTTGTACTTATTTTCACTCGCTACAAACCATTCTGGCAAGTCTTCATCACCATACATGTTCCTGGAAAGAAAATGGTATATAAAAAAAAAACTCAATGATTGATTTTAATAGCACTATACATTTACACTTCAGGGTATTCTTACATGGCTTGATTACCAAATTTCCCATGTAAATTCCATGTTTCTTACTTAAGAAAAGAAGAAACAAGTTCAAGTAATAGTGGAAATTAAAAGTAGCAGGAAATTCCATTTAAGACTTTAACCCCATGATGTACATGCCCTGTCCACTGTAGTTCAATTCTGCCAACATCAATAGCCAGTACACCACATAAATGTCCACAGGCCCTCACTCAGTTAAAAAAAAGAAAAAAAGAAAAAGAAAAAAAGGTGTGAAGTGTGTTCGAACTCCACATCTTGTAGTGTTATATTTCCATTACTTTATAACTATTTAACTTTACATAAAATATAGTGCATTTTACAAAGATCTTGTAAATATTCATAACTGATATAAATTACTTCATATCTTTACACTATCAGCAGAGTAGCCAGACTTAAAACCAACTGTGTCATATGCAGAGCCCTTGCTGCCCAACCCATCCCTCTATTCACCATGAACTTTCTGTAAATGGGTTGTTACAGGACAGCTGAGAACTAGAAAATGCTGCATATGGAAACAATTTTTCCTTGTGCATACCATTTCTTAAATTAACATCTAAAACAGCTTTTTAGACAGTTATTTAAAAAACAAACCCCTCAAATCCTGCCAATATATATATATATTAGTAATATTTTTCTAGATTTGAATTGATTAGACATAAGCTCACGTATGTGGGTTGCAATGTACTCTTTAGTCCGTACTAGAGAATTAATAAAATATGTAAATAAAATGTACACCTTCATTACAACAATACTAACCCTCGACTGTCTTTGTTTTTTCTTTCTCCCTTTCTATCTCTCTTACCTCTATCTTTAACATTCCCTCATTCTCTCTCCTTCCCTCCTTTTCTCTTCTGCTTATCCCAACACCTATCATGCTCAACATGGATTCACTTACCTATTCCATCCAGCATCGATAATATCCCTTTTGGTCTTCTTGGAATGAATCATCTTTGTTGCAAATGCAAGGCCTTCTGGATCAAGTGGGACCTCCCTATCCTTTTCTCTGATGGCTGTGGGGAAAAAGGAAACGACATATGTATGTATTACTGTGCTGTGGTGAAAATTCCCAAGACTACATTTCAAAGGAAAATTCTTGACCAATACTAATAATCCTCTAACTCAAAATCCCCTGGGTGTCCTTCCTGATTTTAAGTTCTGAAGGATGTGGCCTCGCATTTCTCTCTCTCTCTCTCATCAGAAAAGAAAACATCTTCATTTGTTCAGTTCAGATTATCCTACTTAAATTTTATTCTATTTCTTATAAATTAACAAGTTAGGGGTCAGTCAACATCACCTCAAAACATACAATAATCATGTCATCAGTTTCCTTAATCATATTCTAGACTTATAAAAAGAAATGCCTCTATTGATCATAATAACCACAAGAATTCAATGCACACTCAATATGAAATTTCTATGCATTGACAATATCATTGTTCATATTTCATCTAGTAATGCAAGAAATCTGAAAAGAGAAGAAAAGAAAACAGAAAAACCCAACGCGACTCACCAGCACCAGCAGCTAAATGCGGTCCGACCTGTGGCTGTTCATTCTCCTTACCAGCCTTTGCTTTTTTAGCCTTGGGCTGTGCGTCATCGTCGGGGTCTTCAGCATCAGTGAACACTTCTTCCTCAGAGTCTGTGCTCGAGTCAGAGTCGGAGTCAGAGTCCGAATCTGAACCTTTCTGCGAAGGGAATCAGTGGGAATGAAGTCAACAGTCCTCAGCAAAGGATAACACTGCAAAGTCTCATAAACATACAACAAAACTGGAAATTCATTTACATAATATCAACATTTCACAGCAACCTAAAAACAGCCTTCCTAACACTTTCACAAATTGGACTACGTACCTTTTTGCCTTTCCTGTCTCTCTTCTTCTCTTTTGCTTCCTTTTGTTGATACAGCTCTCCTCCCCTGGATTCGTATTCCCTGATGGCTAATTCAACACCAACGTCATCATCCACCTCGTTCTCTACGTCATTGAAGATATCCTGTGAGAGAGGACAACACTTTATAACGAGGAACATTTCAAATAACACACCTTGCAATATTACCTTCTTAATCTGTCGTACCAAAGAGGTATATCTGTTCTTTTTAACGAAACATCTAAGAATTACCAGATGAAAAAAAATCACTTGCCTGATTAAACCACATCTCTGCCTTCCTAATGCGCTTGGCCTCCTCCTGGTCCCCAACCAGGTCAGTCAGCAGAGGATTGTCCTCGCCAGTTTTCAAGTCTTTGACATCTGCAGGAGCTCTGGCCACAGGATCTGCTTTCAGACCCAGGCCTTCATCCTCCATCTCCTCCTCCTCCACCACTAAATCTTTGGGATTCACATAATACCTGCAACAGAAAGTTAAAAAAAAATAAATCAACACACCTATTGCTGTCACCCACACAACCCAATGCAAGCAAAGTAAAACTCTAGTTGTGGCATGCAAGTTAGTATTCATCATAAAAATCTGTTGGTAGATCAGCTAGTACACATCTGATGGACAAAGGAAATTAAAGAATCAGTCAACCCACTGACTACAGATGGCATGACATACACACCCTGTCCTCTGGGCAATTTCCATTTATTGTGTCCACACTGAGATATGCTAGTTACTAACGAGTCAATTACTAGCCCTATCTATCTGACCTCTTCACCCTTTTCCTTGATTTTTGGAGAGATTCCTTTCTACTATCTGATTATCTTTATTGTTATTAATATCTTAACAACATTGCAATAATCAAAATATCAACAATAATAATGATAAAAGCACTGACATTAATAGCTCATGGGAGAGGGGGATCAAGGAACAGGAAAGTCAGATAATATCCCTATGGCCTACTAATCAATTCCTTGGTGGCTTAGCACCTGTGCAACAAAATTCACTGTAAACTAGAGTGGATAGTCCATAAAACCACTGTCAGTAGGTTAAAATATCAGAGTATGTTCAAAATGCATCGCCTTGTTTGTTAACATTAACCTATACAAACTTTCCTAAAATTTTCACACATCATGTTTATGGTTAGGCCTACATCTAATCCACTGAAAAAATCAAGTCAAACTATATGTCGACTATCAAATTTCAAAATGTTTCAACAAGGAATGACTAACACTGCCCAGAAAACTGACAACCTTACAATTTACTGCCTGCACGTATTTTCTAATTTCCTTGCTAAAGGAATTTCAAAAGCAAATAAATAAATGCCCAAGTTGTTTAGATGATAAGAGAGTGACATCTTCAAAACAAGAGCCAAATACATGTATTATAACACTAAGTATCCTTATGGAACCAAATAAAAAGAGGAGGAGGAGGAGGAAGAGGAAGACGAGGAGGAGGAGGAAGAGGAGGAGGAGGAGGAGGAGGAGGAGGAGGAGGAGGAGGAGAAGGAGGAGAAGGAGGAGAAGGAGAAGGAGGAGAAGAAAGAGAAGGAGAAAAAGGAGAAGGAGGAGAAGGAGAAGGAGAAGAAAAAGAAGAAGGAGGAGGAGAAAGAAGAGGAGGAGGAGGAGGAGGAGGAGGAGGAGGAGGAGGAGGAGAAGGAGAAGGAGGAGGTGAAGAAGGAGAAGAAGAAGAAGCAGGAGGAACAGGAGGAGAAGAAGGAGAAGGAGGAGGAGGAAGAGAAGGAGAAGAAGAAGAGGAGGAGGAGGAGGAGGAGGAGGAGGAAGAAGAGGAAGAAGGAGAAGAAGAAGAATGCAGGAAAATAAATCTATAAATAAGCATCAATCACTGACCTTCCAGTTTCATCTAAAACCTCTTCCCCTTGTCTGACCATCCTATATTTTGGTCGTTTCTCCTTTGCTGCCTCTTCTTCAATTGGAACGCTATCAGCGGACACGTCTACCATCTCATCGACACTGCGCATCTGTAATAAGAAATGACAAATCCTTAATATCTCTTTAAATTGCAACTGAAACAAACTGCTCAACATGTACACCACATGCATCTGTTTGATACAGTTAATATCTATGGTTCCAGCTAAACAAAATGACATACTTGAAAATTGTCGACTTTTTTTACTTATTTTTATTTATTATTTTATTTTTGCTAATCACTGGGGGTTCCCTGACATGTTTATTTAGGCACATCATGCATCTCAATACTTACTTCACCCAGTCTGTTGAGGCTGAAAACATGTTTTTCCGACTCATCTATGGGCCCCTGGTCACCGGGAATGAGTGTCCTGAGGCGCAACCTTTGCAGCTGTTTCTGCACTAGCTTCTGTCTCTTTTTGAGTACTTTCTTCTGCTCATGGGCAGCTAAAAGCTGGTATTTCAGAAAAAAAGGAAAAATCAGTCAATTAAAATACTGTTACTCTGAAAGAAAGAAAGAAAGAAAACAAAACAAAAGAAAAAAAGAAAAAGAAAAAACTTTCATCCCAACAAATGTATTTCATCATAATGCATCAACATAGAACATGGAAAATCTCTGCATGAAATGGTTTCTCTTTCCTCACCTCCATTTCTGCAATCTGCTGATCAATCTTCTGCAACTCCTCTTGTTTGAGCTCTTCTGGTGTTTTCTGAGCCTCTTGTATTTGCTCTTGCTCCTTCTTCTTTGCCTCTTGAGCCTTTGCATGCTCATCCTGAAGAAAAAAAATCCCAAGTCGGTCACACAGAAACACAAACAGACAGAAGGACACGGATCTTAAAGTTCACAGTTACATAATTTACACTTGTCTTTACCAGAGGATGCCACTTACCGCCAGTTTCTTCCTCCAGGTTAAGAGCTTTTTGATTTCTTTCCTTCCAAGAACTTTGATGTCCTTACAATATTCTAAGATTTCTTCTGTAGTTGTTGGATGTTGCTTTGCCTTTTCCTCGTCGAACTCTAACTACAGGAACAAAGAAAAATCGTGAGCAAGATTACCTAAAAACGGCAAAACGCAAAATCTGTCAAATAAAAATCACCATTATACACAAAAATTTTTCAACAAAGTTCTCAAATTGCACTTATACACACACGTCTATATTATTACACTTTTATGAACAGGTATACATATAAGGAACCAATATGTACCTCCCAAGCATCTGCAAGAACTTCCATGAAGTTTTCTGCTTGAATGAACTGTGACACTGGAACCTTCTTGTGGATTATGGTTGCACCTTCCTCATATCCCTCAGCCTTATCACGAGTCTGAAATATAAAAAAATGAGTTAATAAATAATCAATAAATAAATAAAATAAAAAAGTTATTTGTATAATGAATCCTTGCAGGGTGTGAGAATTTTGGTCTTGGCAACAATCTCTAATCATTTTTTCTCTGTTTGGGCATTTTGGTGAATAATCTTAAATAAACATTAAGTAATTCACCAGTTATATAATTAAACCCACTGATGCCAGGATGGAATGTACAGGGAATTACCTATTGCCAATGAGCCAATTACAAAACTTTTCCAAGCTTTCAATGTGCTGTATCTCTCTGAAGAATAATTCTGTCATTATTTAACACCTAAACTTATATTCACCACAACCAAGGAAAATCTTTCAAAAACTTTATTAAACTTCTTCCTGTGACATTTTTTTTGTTACGAATGGGACAAATATATCTGGTACTATTTAGCAAGTTTCTTCTAGCTAAATCCATGATATTACCCCTGTGCTCTCACTCGCTTTGTACGCCTACCTCTGCCTGGGCCAATCGCATAGTGGATTTTCCCAACTCTATCTTCTAGTAAATAAAACCTAGTAAGTGTGTAGGCAGTAATTTCGGTGTTGTATGGCACACTTCCTCAGAGCTACCTCTTTTTACGACAAGCATCCAGATAATTATCAAAAAATGTAAATGCACCTTATACTGTTCTATATAAGAATATGATATATAGCAATCTATCCTGAGGGTTAGCTGTTATAACATCGTAAACCTGATACTCTACCGACATTTCTTGTATTTGGGATATGACAATCAAATCTCATTTCATAACAAGAAGCAAAGTGCATGAACACAACCTCCTCAAAATTCATCGCTGGAGGAAAATAAAGAATGAAGTGATTCTTAGTTCCAGAAGCAACGGTAACAAATGATGAAAGCATGAAAATGAAAACAAAACAAAAAATCACTGTACAGCTGCATGACGATTCTTAGCTCTTACACAACCTAGGATCAAGCTTTTGAAATGACGAGAACCAGCCTGGTAAAGCAAATACATACCTTTTTCGTTCTTAACAAATTTATCTTGGGTTTAGGTTCAAGGTCAAGTTCATTGAAGACATGCTGGGCACTGAAGAATTCCGGATCGACCTTATCTGGGGCAAGGAAGCCCTGACAAACCACGAAAATTTCTGCAGACTCGTAACGTGATGCATCTGGTTTGGTTGCTTCCACCTACAAGGCAGACAAAACAATGTTAGCCTTCTGTTTCAAACAACTTCATACTTTTCAATTTGAGACAGACATGACATAAAAGAAAAGCACTTGATTTTTTCACTCAATTGTTCCTTTACCTTGACACTAGACCTATACCAAGTTAGCACAAAATCAAATTGTCAGAAACCCAACAATTTCAAGTAAACAAGAAGTGCATTTTGTGACACACATGATAGAGGAAAAAATTACAGATAAAATTACCTATTTTATCATCTACAGTATATATACACATCAGAAAGCAATTACCTTCTTGAAGAACTTCTTAAATACATATTCCAATTTGAAGTAATCCTTAGACCGGAAGACCTTCGACACAAAGTAACCACCCTTATTCAAGAATTCAGTTGCCAGTTTGAAAGCATGGAGTACCAAGAGATTCTGTGTGTATGCATCGTAGATCCAGTTCTTACCTGGTAAAAAACAAACATATGAATTACTTATCAATCTAAACTTTTTTATTTACTATCATCATTACAATTCACTTCAGAGAGGAGTTACAAATATGCCACATTATCTCTCTACCTTTGACTTTCTTTTCTATGTCAAAATATAATTCAACCATTGTCAGAAATTTCCAAAGCACACCCACCCATGTTTGGGGCGCCATCATGAAGTACGACATCTGCTTTCCAGGTCTTCAGGGCACCTCGCAGCTCAGACCTGGTCTTCTCTGTGGTAATGTCGCCATGGATGGAGAGGCAGCCATAGATGGGGTCTATCCTATTCCTGTCCACGCCAATAATAAAGGACGACACTGGCATGTACTTTTTGGCAACTTGCATCCATGATCCAGGAGCAGCACACAGATCGATGCATACTCTGGACTTCTGCAGGAACTGATACTTGGCATTGAGCTGGATCAGTTTGTATGCGGATCGAGCACGATAACCTGAAAAGAGTACGAGTTATTAGATACGGCTTTGGAAAAGACAGGAAGCCAAATAATGAAAAATACCTGGTGTTATCTACACCACATATATAGTTAGATTTAAAAGTCATCATGGGGAATCGGCAGTTGAGAGGGGAGACATGCACACACATCCTTAACTCCCTACCACATGCAAGACCAAAGACCTCCCTTCCCCTGGGGTATTTCCCTTGACCCATTCCCTTGGAGTATCTTCCAAGCTCCCAGACCCCATTCTTATGATTTATCACACTAGAACTCTTGCCTTCTGAAATCTAATCTTCACTCAAATCACTATGAGTACTGAAGTTTTTACCATGACAGCACGAACACTAAAATAATGTACAGTTTATTATTTCCTCCAAAATTTAATACAAAGCTGTATGTAAAGTCACACTTAATGTATGCCACACTCAGCTCAATTTGCAATTAGGGTTGAAATGATAGTTGTATTAAAAAATATCTGGTAGACTTCCATTAGAAAAGTACCATTCTGCATACACTGGTATCAAAAACTATTTGAAGATTCATTATAAAACATGTAAATAGACAAAAATACATAAATCTTTGAGAGTGCTAAATATATATGGTTTAACCCACTGGATCCAGATGTTTCACTCCCAGCACATGCCAAAAATACAGGCATTAGGCTTACTTGAGCAGCCACTCTGACAGGTGTGCAGCTTGTTGGACGGGCGCGTGTGAACCCTTATGTGCGGCGACAAGACTCCATACCTCCCTTTTGCATTGTAATCTCCTCTCTTTCTCCAAGAGCATTTTTAGCTTTTTTTTTGTGGTTTTCTAATGTCCATATTCGTCACTTGATTTGATTTAGATAGTAACAGACCGTTTTCCCTGCATAGACTCCATATCATCTCTCTAGGTAGCCCATAATTCAGTGTAGTAATAATAACAATAATTAAGTAATTTGTCTTTTTTTTTTTTTTTTAATTTTGTGTCATACAACCTGTGCTGCCAGTCATGGCAGGCAGGAATAGGATGCTGAGCATGGAAACTGCATCCTCCCTGGAGCCGGCACTCTTCCTGTCATGGCTCTAGGACAGTACGTGCCACACTCATTCATTGATGGAAATAATGCAAAAGCCCTTAACTAAATGCCAAATGAGTCTAATCACCCTCCAAACACTTCCATGTATTTGTGGAGAGACATTCCCCTTGCCAAGGCCTTCAGCATTATTTGCTTTAT